CATTTTTGGCACAATTATACAAACTTTAATTCGCTTCATAGCTAATTTGCTCTGTTTCTTTCCTCTTTTGCTCTGTTTATTTTCTCCTTTTTTTTGGCTTCATGACCCAAAACGTTACCATCTTTGATACTGTCATCAGTTTCTACCCATAGTTTTGTTATTGTAATGCAATTGTTTCAATTAAGTTGATAAATCTCTGAGAGTGACTCTTTGTTTTCCTCTGATCCGTGGAGGATTCTGTGTTTTTTTTTTTATCTTTTTGGAGGTTTTCTCCTGTTTTTAGGGAACTCTAGTGATTTATGCATATATGATGTTTATTGTCAGTTTATGAATATATGGAATTAATTTAAGCAAGGGATGATAAACAGTTATTTAATCTCTTGTTTGAGCTTATATAATTGTGCTTACAAATCCTTAAAATAATGCTTAAGGATGATGTGAACTTAAGGCCTAGCTTCTGACCACAAATCCTTGCCTACTTCGTTGACCATACCTTTGTCTTGGCTTTATATTCAAATCCAAATCCTGTCTGTTAATGTCTTTGGTTAGTCAGGAACAAGATCCTCTTTCATAGATCTTGTAATCTTTTTTGTCTGTTATTTGTAATTAGGTTGGTAACATCGTACCTCATGTGAAATGTCTTGTAGTATAATTTTACGATTGATGATTCTTCTCATATCTTGACTTTCCTCTGTTTTCTCCATTGATAAAAGGATGGAATTCTCTAGAGACGCCGGAATGATGATGGAGAATAAGCGGAATGTTTGCTCTCTCGAAGAAAGCGGCATCAAACGCCATAAGTCCAATCTCTCTTTCAATTCCAAGGTCTTGCTTCATGGATTTCTCGGTCGAAATAGTGTCTTTGATTATGGGTTCACTAGGTGGTAATGATCCTTCTATCTTTGTTCTCTTAATGGTAAAACAGGAGAGGAAGGACAAACTTGGAGAACGTATTTCAGCTCTTCAACAGATAGTTTCCCCTTATGGAAAGGTAGTTTTTTGTTAAGCAAATCAAAGAGATTTCATCTCTCAGCAAATACTTTTCTCTAATCTTCTTTGAGTCCAATGTTACAGACCGACACTGCTTCGGTTCTTCTAGACGCGATGAATTACATAGAGTTTCTTCATGAACAAGTGCAGGTCTGCAAGTTTCTCTTCATCAGTTCAATACCCAAGTTTTCAGCTTCGCCGAATAAACACTTGAGTTTTCATGTTCTTTTTGTACAGGTGCTAAGCGCTCCGTATCTGCAAACAATACCTGATGCTACACAGGTGAGGAACCCATTTATACTTGGTTCTGACCATACTGCAACTGCAATTCTTAACTCCTGCATCTGAACTTCATCTCTTTCACGGTCTGATTTTCCCGTCTTTTATAACCAGGAGGAGCTGGAGCAGTACTGCCTGATAAACAGAGGATTATGTCTTGTTCCATTGGAGTCTACGGTAGGAGTTGCTCAAAGCAACGGGGCTGATATCTGGGCGCCCGTAAAGACCCCTCCATCTCCGGCTTTCAATGTCAACTCTCAGTCACCCTTTAGATGACCGATTCGACTCTTCGCCTACTAAGATCTTTGTCTTAAAGACTAAAGAAGATGACCAACTGTTACTATTCTGATGATGCCTCTGTAGGATAATATAGACAGGGAGACACAAGAAGCTTGTTTAAATTAAAACAACAGCTCATGGCTGGTGTTCGCTATTATTATTTGACTGCTTAATTGATTCCCTTACTTATGTAATTTGCCCAAATGATTCTAATGCAGAGTATTCTTTTGCTGAAAACTGCCTAAGATCTCTATGTAATTCTGTTTTTACCATATCTATCCTATACATCTTTCTACATCTAAAGAACGAAGGCAAGCTTTAATTCACAGTTGAAGGACAAGATTGATTTCCCGATTACACACAGCCAAAGCGAGGAACGCATAACACAAGAAAGGTGTGTATTATGCTTGTAATCATACCAAGCACAAAATTCACATTACCGTTCCATAAGAACGTTAGAGAGAAGATATTACCACATAGATTGCAAAGGTTCAGAACATACAGACTGTTGATGCCGAGGGACCAAATAGCTTGGAGAAAGTAAAAGATAAGTTGATCATAATGTGCTTTTAACTATAAGATCACACTGGTTTGGCATAGGTATCCAGCACTACATAGTGATCACAGTGATTACACTAACTTGCTGAAGTAGGCTTGACCTTCTCCCGCATATACTGTAGTAGATGTTCGCGTTTCCAGTTGTCGATTCTGCAAAGCAAGCAAATCAAGAAACAAAAAGGGTTAGTTACAGCTTTGTAGGAATGAAGCTCTTCTGCTTTAAGTGGATGAGCCTTTAAACACATCACTAGTTCATACACATAGCATCATCCTCCAAAAACCAACTTTCATCAGAGATTTCACTAATCATATAGCATAAAATACCAGAGCACCCAGAGATTGAAATTAAAACTTGATGCAGATCCATTGATAGTTATATTCACACATTTATCTACCATGCTAAAATGGAGATATCAGGACACCAAGAGCGCATAATTTAAGAACATTTCAGAGCAAGGAGGTGAACAAAGAAGGGTAAAGCAATGTACCTAATTGTTTCCTTCTGTTCACCATCTTCATCCAGCATGATCAACTTGGGCGGTGAGTTGAAAATGTACTGAACTTTTACGCTAGGGAACTTTTCTTTCTCTTCTTCAATAAAACCAACAATTTCAGGATAGAATACCAACTTCCTCATACACACTTCCAATATAGCTCCGGAATAGGTAATCTGCCATCGCCAAAAAGAAAGAAGCATAAACGAGTCATCACTCTCTTACTCTTCACTTAATGAATGTTTGAGAAAATGTTTCTGTCTCCATCTAATCTATTCCAAAGGATTGCAAAAATTCCATGCCTAGTAATCATACCTTGCTCATGGAATCCTCAGAATCATCAGCACAACATTTCATGCAATCAGATACCAACTCTGCAAATACAAAATTAAACATAAGATAACCAAATTTGCAAACAAATGATAACATTGGTGTATATACAATATGCTTTAGCTCTGATCTAAGAATCTGAGAAAGCAGAGATATTCCAATTCAGTAATTCATTTCACATTCTTCCCCTTCCTCAAAACCAAAGTTGTCAATAAACAAAACACTCTGAATAGAATGATCTCTAGCTCATAATCCACAAAATAATCAAGCAGTCCAGTAAGGGAACGAACCTTGGTCCTTAACGTATTCGGAGAGTGAGTTGCAATCGGAGCAAAGAGCAAGACCTGTAAACCCTAGATCCTCGCATTCTTTAGTACTCAGTTGCTCTTTTGCTGAG